ACTTCCCAGTTCATAGGCTTTACCTAATTTCATATTAGTTAATTTTTTATATTTAAAATCAGCCTCTCTGGCCCATCTCTTTGAACAAAATTTTCAATTAATGGTGATATTTATTGTCAAAATCATTTTCCTTGATTTTACCTGGGACATAAGATAACTTATGTCCCAGATTTTACAGATATGTATGGTGTCCATTTCAATCTACTTAAAATTTGTCAACATGACATTTATGTTCCTTATGAATGGCTGTCATGAACTTATTCAGGGGCTCAATTACTAAGAAAATCGTTGAGCAAAATTAATTTTATGTGACAAACATCATATAGAATTTTGTGAGCCAGATGGTACAGTTTGAGAGATGGTTTCAACAGCCTATATTAAAATAACAAAATTTACTTTGTTTCAATTTCTCACAAAAAACTTTATGCACTCATTGAAATTCTATATCATTTCTCTTAAATTCCCTGCACTGATGTGCACAGGCATAAGGCATAAATGATGTGATGCTGTATATATTATTTTTTATTTAATTTTATTGAAGATAAATAGAAATAAATTGTTTAAAAATTCTACTAAGTAACTTTGTGAATTTCTTGATGAGTTAATTGTAAATAAGTAAATGCTAAATCTTATTATTATTATCAATTCGAGTCAGTGTCATATGGGATCAACTTTTTAATATAAATGATTTAATAACTTTCCTAAATCTTAAGAAATGATTTCTACTAGTACGAGATAATTTGTGCACGAATAGTCAAAATTATAAAGTGATCCGCTAAAATCAACATGAAAGCGTAAAGATCAAATCAGTTTGAACAAACATATCATTGTGTACCCTTTTTGTCTGTTGTCGAATGCTTCGCACACATCCTACTCTAAGCTGTGTCAACCTTAGAAAGTAATTCAACCGACTAGATGACATTTTGCGGACGATCTATCTCCGTATCGACTCTAAAATGAAGAGCTTTTATGTTATGGATAAAACCCGTAAAATATGATACGGTTTGGAAAGACCACAGGTGTTTGAAAAATACTTTTGAGGGCGTTCATTGCCAAAATTCCAGACGAGTAAAAGTGTTCCTTTTGAATACTACTTTTGAAATTGCGAACATGTATGCCTAGCATTTTAACTGTATCCGTACACTGCAAATAATAAGCCTCTTAGGACACTGTCTTAAGAAAACGTGTTTCCAGTTCCAGAACTCCAGGAATACATTTACACACTAACATGTTTAATAGACATAAGTAGATTCACATAGTTAAACGATTTTAATTCATTTATGGCCCCTTTCCCCTATATGACCGAGTTTTTAAGAACTTCTGTCATGACACTGTACAAATCAGTTGATCTCTGTCAAGAGCATGCTTGTTGACTGGGGTTTGTCATTTTCAAGTTAAACGACTTTTATCAGCATTTGTAAGTATAAAAGTTATGTATTAGATATTCTTGCCTGAATAAAAGATTGTAATACTAAATGCTCGTACAGCAAAATATGCAATAAACATCTCTATGTAGCAACAGTTCTCGACAACAACAAAAACTTTACCGCCAACAGGATGATTTTTTTAAAAGGTTCCATTTGAAAAGGTTCTGCGCAAAATGTCCTGATTATTTTTTTTTCAGAAACGGCATTATCAAGTCTATGGGGTTTAGATTGCCCTTACGGTCGGTAAAGTTTTATGAACGCACACAGACTAAAAGTGCTTTTAGTCCTGAAAAACTATGCAAATAAGAAATCCAACACATAAGTATACGCTTAATTAGCCTACAATTTGTCCTAGTGTAGATCCGATAGTAAACATAATTAGAAAAAAATGAAAATTCGAATTGTGATTTCTTTGGTTATCATCTATCAGTTTTCTAGGTTAAATGGCGTCGAAACAGGAAGGATGATTTGGGCTAACATCGGGTGATAAAAACATTCAAAGCAACACCAAGGGTGAAAACCATTTTACAGGTCTCCTGGTGATCAGAGTTGCATCTTTAGACTCCAGTTATTTAAACCCATTTAGTTGCCTCTAGATAAACAGCTAATGACAGTATTTCTGGTGCATGCTTCAACATTCAGCCACATGAGGCAAAATATATTGGGTCAATGTCATTACATTAATCGGTTACTATATAAATCATGCTAAACAAAATGAATTATTTAAAACAATATCATATTTGTTTACAGCATTTCAAAGAAAGGAATTTATTTTCGATATAACTACTGCTTCTAAAAAGAACATCTTTATTGTTAGCAATCCTAACCATGACCGCAATGAAGTAGTATTGTTGGTCTTGTTATGCAAACATACATCTATACACTTAATAATTCAAAGACTTTTCTTAGATTCATCTGGGATGTACTATAACGTATCGTATGTTCCAGGATACATTCTCCAGAGTTGTTGCTATATTGTACTAACATTCTTCTAAAATGGAATTCAGGATTTGTCAGAGTTTGAATTTCGAGATTCTTTACATATTTTTATATATGTACATATGTATAAGTTTTAATTCTCTTGGCGATATCATTTATCTGTTGTCAAATTGGTTATTTATTTGGCCAAACGTATTTTTGTGTCGGTTTGCTAAATTATTTGAAAACTGATAGATTGGTAGAATGATTGTTTCTAATGAAGAGTATATATTCTGGATTTAATATTGAGCTTTGAGATTGAGCGCAACAGACAGAAATAACGACAGTAGTTATCTTGTATTCTTTTGTCTTGTCGTGTACACGATTTTACTTAAAGAATGTATTTTCATTCTGTAGGGTGCACAAGTCGAAACACCCTGTTCTGTTATCTTATGATATTTTAGGCCTTCTCGAGAGAATTCTGTGTTCCCTACTAAAACTTTTATCCATAATACTAGTATTTAAGATACATGTACAGGTGAACATTGTTGATTTCTATTCTAATAAAACAATATGCAACCAGGAACATTATAAGACAATAGGCTTTCTATTTTCACATCGACATCCTGTGAAATTCAATGAATGTTGCATTGTATTCATTGCTTTGCACTTTCCAGTACCGTCCATGAACAGGCTCAATCAAACCGAGCCTGCAACATTTTCATTTTTTGCCGTGTTGGGCTTTCTTTAGAGATTTTGTTTTTAAAATTTCTAACTGATATTTGGGAATTTCTAACTGATATTTGGGAATTTCACTGGCCATTTTAAAATTAGCAAACAAAAATAAAGGATTTATTTATTTATTTATTTATAGATAGATAATTCCTGTATTTTAAAATTCAGAGGGCTAAACAAAATTGAGCTATGTTCAAATTTACTATATAATCAACTATGTTTAAAAACTATAATATTTTTATGTTCATTGGAGAACTATTCAGACTCAATACTAGTAATCGATCGGAAAATTCATTTATTGTTATATTTTTAGAAGTCAAATTTTGTTCACTTCCATTATTGAAACTTTCAACACAAAAACTGACAAAGTTTATGGCAGTCAACGTTTAAGATATTTATACATGTTTATGGTTTTCCCTTGAATTTGGCCTACAAATGCTTGTGTTACTATAGAATATGATATTTAAAATAAGAAAAAAACTTCACCACTCCATCGATTTCGATCACCCTAACCTACGTACAGTATTAACTTTAAAACGCATATTTCCTGTGAGACAGTATTCAGACAAAAGCAAAATACCATAATGATTGTCATTATTGAAACATTACTAGTATTTACCAAAAATCAAAAATATCTGTTTAACCCTAAACTTGGTATCAATTAAAGTACTTTTACATGTATATTGCTATGTTTCTAATTCAAATGTGCTAGATCCGTTTTTTTACAAAAGCAGAATAATTATAGATATGAATTGAAACATTGAAAAGTAAAGTGGATATGATGTCCTAACGCATCGCAAAATAAGTTTTTATCTGTGTTTTCACTTTGAATAATAATGTTTTATTTTCAACTTTTGCTGCTTATAAGTCTAATAATTATATTGTTCTATTGTCAAACGAATGCCAACGGACATTAAACAGAACATTTTCATCTGTATACACTGTTCAAATTCAAGTCGGTGCTTCGATTTAATTTTTTTTTTTTTTGCTTTATTGACATAGGGAATTTGTTGTTAAGGACATATCTATTTTGTGGCAATGAAATCATTTCAGTTGTGTGTCAATGATAGAAAATCGTTTAAAGTGACGATGTAATTGAATAAAGTTATATTTTGTATATAGTTATATGGTTGCTAAGGTCGTTTAGTTTCATGAACACCATCAAGTTTCAAAATCGGTATGAAAAAACTAATATACAAAAGCAAAGACAATTTTTCGAGGGTTTCTCATATCCCGATATGTAAATATCCCTTGTAAGGTACTGAAAATAAATAAATTTCCAGCAGTATGTCAGTTTTCAAGACAGACACTTTCGATATGTTTGAAACATGTGTCAAACTGAAATAAAACAAAAAGATGTACGGCGATTACGGAAACGTTTTTTAAAAGGCATATACATGCATAAAGTATTTTGGCGAATTATAGTATTTGCTTTATCTGAACTGGAATTATTACATTTTTTACGCCAATGGCATTCGCTGATATTCTCCATGTTCTAAATGTATCATTAGTACTCTCAAATGATCCAATTCAAACACTTTCAGAGCACAATGGTGTCCTTATTCAGTAACTTTTCAAAATGGATCTACAAGATGTCTTGCTTTGACAACGCCTCTTATACAGAATGTCATTGTGTGTTTACATGAACGGAATTAAGATTTTGAGAAATTTTGCAAAAAAGATAATTGTTAGTTAAAACAAAATAAAAACACTATAATTATAATCTTCTTTTTTATTTCATTTACATTTCTTTCTTATATCATTCGGTCGTTATGACCTATATACACAGTGCATAATGTATAAGATATAGACATAGGTTGGTTTAAATAAATTTGAAAGAAGACTTTACCTTTTGAAAATACCGTGGAACGATTTGTGGTATTTTCACAATTTACCAGCAATAAAAAATAAGAATTAAAATATATGTATTATATTTCATTTCAAATTGCTATATGCATTATATTCCATTTGAAAAAATAAAACAAAGACAGACGAACTGAACAAATACTGTTTCTAATGCAAGTATTCCATATACAAAGTACACTTAAAAATACACGAATCTGTAGACTCCAAATTTTTCTCATTATGAAGAGAGAAAATACGAAAAGACTGAAAATACGAAAAGACTATCAGTCTTCGAGCGTTAATGAATCCTCATGATGTACGGACGCCGTATCTGTTATATTGTTGTTTAGTTGTGCACCATTTTGCTATCTTCAAATCAAGTGGTTGATTTTCTCTCTACAGTTTTAGTGTCTATATCTTTTATGGCAGCTTTAAACTTATCAGCAAAGTTTGCTACAACGGCAAACATTTGATCCGACTTCTGGTACAGAGGTTCCCCGAATTTCGTCTGTAAGAAAACAGTTTGCAAGAGTCAAATAAATGATTGATGGTGATGTTGTATGCAGTATTGATAATGTGATTCTGGGGAACACCATTGTTTAAATTATACTTATATATATAATTTTGTTTGTTATAATATGCTTTCTTATACTTTTTAAATAAAGGTTGCATGCACGTCCAGACTGTAAAGATTGTTTTATTTCTTATTATTTCTGCAGTGACATTGTTTCTTTAATTGTTGTACTACTTTCTTATACTGCTAAATTTGATACACCATTTCGATAATCAAACAAGACAAATTTATGAACATATATCACTATATAGATTTCAAAAAAGCTTTTTAACATTCTTATTACACGAAACAATTGTAACCAATTCTTTTGATCTTAGATAAACATAAAAAAGTCAGAAAATAGTCGACGTTGGCGCAATCACAGAGGCTATTCTGCTTTGCAATGCACAAAAGTTGTATCTTGAATTTAGTTTCAATTATTGTACCCCGTCCATTGATCACTTACCAGTATTTTTCTATATTTATGATGTAACTCCCCACCTCTTCTGTCCAATTTCTCCAGTTTCATCTCGTATTCAACTGTTAAATTCTGTAAGTATAATAAATTTAATTTACTGAACATACTATATATGTATTGAAACAAACAATGCAATATTTAAAATAAAATACATACTAGTAAATACATATATTCGAAAATGTAAGTACTGATTATTGTTATTGTTAATATAAAACAAGAAGCTGTTGATGCCAGAAAAAAATATTGGCAATAATTTCTACGATATTTGACGGAAATTCGAAAAATAAATATCTAATTGCATATAACACCTTTTGTAAATATGCCAAGGTTTACATAAAAGTGATTTCCATAATACGTAAAACGGAAACACTTATATCATTTACAAGCAACATTCCCGTTCAATTTACACCTTATCAACAATCAATTTTAACAGGTATTCTACAGTTTTCGTACAGCAATATATAAAATTATAATATTATAAAGAAAAATGTGTGATACAATTGATTTAAACTTTTGCTTTTAGAATCTGATGGAAGAATGTCTATTAACGAAAGGTGGCTTTAACAGGACACCGTTTTATTCAGGCATGTTTAAAAAGAGAAGAAAACATCAAGAAGTACACATAACTTGAATGCAAATCATACGTCACTGACAAATGGAATTTGTTTGTCAAGTTATCGGTCTCCTTGTTCATGCTTATTTCAAGGACAAATAATTCACATCGGAGGAAAGCAATACCATATTTTTCGGGGGGGGGGGGGGGGGTCACATAGCTGATTTCCTTTAAAATATTTGTTGAAATCAAAAAAAAAATCAAATTTAAGGAAACTATATTGGCAAACCAGGCTATGTTTCGCTTTAAACGATTCTACGATACTGTACAGTTTTTAATCTTCCTACCAGTCTATAAAACTGTAACATAGTTGTACGTGTCTTTAACAGAACAACAAAAATGATTTTGTTACCTGCGCATCTTGTTGAAATTTGTTGTCTTGTCTGGAGCAATACACTGGTTTGGATTTCAATGTTTTTAAATGCTTTTTCACTTTCGACAAATCACACTTTAATACTGAAAAACAATAAATCAATTTATTTTTTCTGATATATTTAGATTTGTTAAAATTCTGCTGTATGATGAAACTGGGTGAACATGGAAAATGAGACAAAGTATTTGGTAAAAATCAGTTGGAGTGTGATATAGAATTCTCTTTTAGCTATGTTGTATGACATATTGGTTATAAAAGATAAAGTGATAGGATAAGAACAGAAACTTTGTATGTTTCGACATATTAAATTTATTGTCAATATATACATGTAGAATAATTTAAACCAATTAATACAATCATGTAAATATATGTTTGGTAAAACAAAGTAAAATTCAATACGATTGATCAAGGGCCAATGTTGACAATTTATTATGTTATCAATACGTTAATTGTTTTTTGGTCTCAGTCTCTATATAATGTGCTACTGTTGTTATTTTGAATTATTTTTTAAAGCAAACACATCTTATCCTATCAAACTATATGGTCTTTATGTGATGAATAAAATAAAACAATTTTACCTTCGCTTTCAGCAGCTACAGACTTAACTGAAATCTGTTCACATTTTTTCACCATCTGCACACTTTCCGTCCATTGTAACAGGCCAGGATCGGACATGCGCAGTTGTTCTACAAGGAAATGAATTAAGGTGTAACCTGTATCCTTTCCGCGAACACTCAGTATCTGTTTTTTAAAAAAACACATATAATAAACATATGCAGTGAAAATTTATAGGTAAACATACCCGATAAACATATGCACTTAAAATCTGCAAATCCAATGAACAATGGTTAATTAATAGTTACCTCAAAATAAAGTTTGCATTTGCTTATAA